GGGGTCAGAATTTGTCAACATTTTTGATACTCTTGATCAACTTTGCTAAATTGCTGTGTAAAAGCAGTATTACAATGCAAACATTACATTTTTAGTTAGAAAACTTGATTTCACTTTGCCTGTTACAAATGGCTATGATATTGACTTGAATTTAAGAAGACAGACAAGATGTTTATTTATATTAACTAGATCTAAAGCATGAATCTCTCTCTGATTCTTAGTTATCTTTATCAGTTCCTCTTAATTCATTCTTTAGCTACTGAGGCTTCATTTGAAATTTTTTGAATTAATAATTTTAGATAAATTGGAGATATGACAGATAAAATTTTGATTTTGTGTATATTTCCTACCAGCTACTCTGGCTATAACCCTCTGTCTCTTGAAGCAGGGTCTTTGTTTTCTCCGTGGTGTCTAAAACATGGTAGATAATAATATTTGCTGAATGAGTGAATGGATAAACAGATTACTTGCAATTTTATGTATATCCAAGCTATGAAAGCTTTTGAAAATGTAGCAGTGGCCAAGGATCTGGTTAGCAGACTAGCTTAAAAACTTATCACAATTGTAGAAATCAAGTATATATGGTAGGAAAAAATAGAAGAATATAGGCTAAAAGTCAATGAGAGGGAAACTTAATAAGTAAATAAAGGAATTTGAATAGAATAATGCTAATTTGATTGTGAACCAAATTAATTTATTATAAATTGATTACATGAGTTTTCCATTTTTTACAAAGATGTAAATTCATGGTATAAAGTCATCTTTTTAGAACTATATGTAGCAAAAATAAGCATAAAACATTTGCAAACCTTCATTTTAAAGTTGTAATATACCTTTTGCCCCTGCAAGTAGAGATGTATGAATTTTCCATTCAATAATCACTAGTTAAGTACCTACAGAATATCGTGCCAGGTGCTGTAGATGGATGAATAAAACATTGCCATTCAAGATGTTCGCAGGCTGCCAGGGAAGACTGACACACACAGAGCTATAGTGCAAAGTAGACCATGATGAGTGCATCTGAGAGTTAGGAACAAAGTGGTTTCGGGGCAGGGGTTATGACTAATACCAAACTACAACAATTCCAAAGAGCTTTTCAAAAGCAGCAACCTCTGAGTTAGGCTTTTAAGGATGGCCCAGAGCCTGCTAGTGAGAGCACAGGATGATAATGTGCATTCTAGGCAGAAGAAGAAGGAAGTTTTTTATATGGCCTGTTTGCTTGTGCAGTTCTTTCGGTATTTGTTGCTAGCCCCATGTGGCCAAGGGTCCAAACCAGCACATTTTTTACACCTTGTACAAAGTCTCACTCATGAGAAGCACTCAGTAAGTTTTGGTTTTTGAATATCTGCATGACTGAATGAACAAAATTACAGATCCTTCTCAATATGGGAGAGTAATTTTCAAATAAAAAAATTACACTTCATGAGGGTTGTGTTTCTTTACTGTTTATACCTATGCAAAGGAAAACTTAAACTTTGTGAACTCTGGATAACATTTGTCTCACCAAATTTTAAGAAAACACAGCTGTGGTCTTTATTCCTATCTCTTTGTTCTTCTCTTTCTACACTTAATTTCTATATTTTCATTGGCTTGTTTAGATGCATGAATTCAAATATAGTCCTTTGGGTTTTTTTAGTCTAAAATAAAACTTCCTTAAGCTGAGGCTACTTATATATAATAAATGATATTCAGGCTGATGGTTTTAATTTCCTCTTTAGAAGCAAAACAAACTCATCCTATTGTACACATTCTGCATTCTCCACTTTATTATTTTTGTAAATACAGTGATAGAGAATGGGCGTGTATGTCCTATTGGAAAGTGTCCAGTAGTATCTAGAGGATTTAGCTAGGTTTTAAGGAGATTATATTAGCATTTGTGCTATAAATGACAGCTGGATAATTTTAATTCAATGGCAGTTTCAGCAAATTAAGACTTGTCACTGTTTTGAGTCCCTTTGCCTTTTCTTTCCCTTTTTAGATTTCGATATCTTGGAAATCTAAATGTATTAGAGTAGGATTCTTTTGGTATTTTGTTTTTCCTTTGGAAGCCAAAACAAAGACTCTTCAGAACGTCACAATCCCAAAAGGCAGCTGCAGGACTTAGGAGTCTGATCACAGCTACCTTTGTCGCATCCCAAACCAAATCTAGTGTTAAATACAAGAAGCACATTTTTCACTTTTGCTGTATTTCAGGGAGGGTAATAACAGCACTATATATTTGTAATTTATTGTATACGATCTTCCTTGATTCCCAGAGTAACCTGGAGAGATAAGTATGGTAAATATTTTCATCCCCTTTTATAAGCAAGGCTCCGTCATTTACCTACAAAAAAGGATGACTCCTGAAAGTCAACAGCAGCTGAGGGAAAGCGCTGGAATTAGAACCAAATTCAGTTCTTCGCCTGCTGTGTTCCAGTGCCCTAAGGGCTTCCTTTTACTGGCTTTCATATAAGCTGTGAAGAAATATGGGAAGCAAAGGAAAGAGAAGAGTGATGAAATGATTTGCGAATGAATTTAAAAGGTGACTAGCATAGTGCTGTTGGCATTTGGAGCAAAAGAGACTATTTGAGAATCATGGTGGAAGATTTGCACCACATAGAATTCCTGGGCTTTATACAAATTAAAAGTTCAGTTACTGTCCCAACATGAATGGTCTGTGGAATATGGACTGGAAGGGGCATGCCTCAAGCCAGGGAGACCTGTGAGAGATGTCATGATCTCTGTAAGAACTGATGGTGTGGAGGCAGGTGTGGGTGAGGAGGGTTGAGCTAGGTGGTGCCTGTGGGAATGGAATTGGAAGGACAAGTGAGCCCAAGGAACATTAGGAGTCTGGAATAGACAGAATTTGATGTTTATTAGGAAGGAGAGAAGGAAACAGTAGACAGCCCTGGACTTTCTCCTACTCTGAATAACTCTAGTAAATTTAGACAGTGCATACAAGCAGAGGAATGTTGACATTCCTAGTGGTACGTGTTATAGGGAAAAGAATAGATGATCTCCACAGCATGAAAGAAACATGGCTGTCTTATCCAGGAGAAGGATGCATTTACCACGTGTCTGTTCAAATGTGGAGGCTTCCCAAGGGAAAGGGAGCCTGGTTTATCCAGCGATCACTTGTAGCCACCTCTGTCAGGACTATATGGAAGTGAAAATAAGTTGTATTCTGTATTATTAGTTTAAAAATGGGGACTTTTGATAAAGAAATATCTAAACGGATACGAACAGGAAAACCACCCAAGAGTGTTGGTTTTGATGATGCCTCTTCACAGCAAAATCTCAAGTTACTTTTGATGCTGAGGCATTGTCGGTGGGCCAGATTTTATTAGGTTAATTTTCTCTTCCAGAACTCCAATTACCATATGATATAATTGAGGAAAACGATGTCCCTGCTCCTTGGCATTAGAATTCAAAGATGAACTGCTGCAGGGATTTGTGGCTTTTAAAAATCACACATCTGAGAAAGGCTGTTACTTAGCTATTGAAACTATCTTCATTGGAAATTTGAAAAGCTGGAGAGAGACATATTTTGCTATATCATTGATTTTACTTTTTAGTAGGAATGTCTCTACTCTTGTTACACAGTCTTAAAGCAAAACACCAAAAAGAGTGATCAGAATACAATTGGTGGGTTTGAGTGGGGAACAAAATAATAAAAAGAAACACATTCCTCATTTGTAAGATAATGCTGAGATGCTTACTCAGGAAAATTTCTCCTGCTTCTGTTATAAATCAGAGAAGTATAAAAGAAATCAGGATGTGGAATGAAAAAATAACAGTGAACGTTGTTTTAAAATTGCGTGGCAGCTTGTCATTAAATTAGATGTTAGTGCCTAAGGAACCATTTGTTCTTTTCTAAAAGAGATGAAGAACAAGAGATTTTATCTTAATAAATCTTTTTCCCCTTTGTTTCCTTCAGGGGTCATGGTATACTGAAAAGGCACTCAATCAAGAGAAATCTGGGGGAAGCTGGAAACCATCAAGTTTTTGAGGCCATACAGGGGGCAGGAAAGATAGAGGTGGGTACATTTTTGATCCATCAATCCTGCTATGGAGGGTGTCCTGGAAAATATCTTTGTTGCTATAAAGCCAGGGGACAGCAAAGAAAAGTTAAAGTGGGAGGTCTTTATTTTAGAAAACAAATCAATATGGTTAAATTTAAGCTTGATAGAATCTACCGTTGATGTCAAATTAACAGCAGATAACACATGCCAAGAACTTGAATGACATGTTTCCATCTTGTGTCTGCCAGGGACCAGTGATCAGTAGAGACCCAGCTTGACTTGATATTTATGTTCTTAGCTGTTCTTCCTTAAATTGTTCTCAACAGCGACAGCTAGCCCAACAAAATAATGTTTTAAATTTCTGTCCTTTAAAACAGAAGAAAAACTCATAATGTTATTTATCAGGTCTTATAAACTCACTGCTCTTGTAATACTGGTCTCCTTAGAGACCATAATGATAGCTTTATAAGCAGTACATACAAGTGGACATTCTTGATGATGCTGATTAGTGGACATAAATCTCAAATACTTTTTTGAGAAACGGGTATCTAAGGCCAGCCCAGTGCCTTGGTGTGCTGTGTTCTCCCGATTGGAGGGAGATACTCGTTTCCCTGTGGTAGTTAAGATGGCCCATCAGAGACCATGGAGTGAGCCTCAGCTTTCCTGAAGGCCCTCACACTCTCCTCCCACACCCGGATTCCCATGAGAACGTGGAAGAGTGGAAGACATTAGATTCAGTTTAGGCTCATTACCTGGTTTTCTCAAAATCAGTGCAACTTTCCTCCTAACCCACTGTGATTTCATTGGCTATGCCTTCATTTGCATGTGTTCTCTGAGCATTTTTGCTGCTTTCTTGTCAGCTTTTTACGTCAGCAAAGAGTAACCTGTTTTAAATGAAATCTACCTATTGTTACAAAGTAATTTAACACAAATAATTTTATCAATAGCATTTCTATTTCTGCATAAACAGCTGAAAATCTCCATATTAAGAAAAAACAAGTAAATTTGAAAACATTAATTTTGTATTTAAGGAAAATTAAAACAAACATAAAATAATTTATTGAGTCTTTATTGTGGGTGGAGTGTGTAGCGATTTGTAAGCATAATCTCATGTAACCCTCACTTATAATAACTGTATGAGAAATGTGAGGAAGGCATAGTTATTCCTGTGACAAATGTGCACCTTGCCAAATGTACACATTTAGCTACTAGGTGGTGAAGTTAGGATTTGAGCCTAATTTTGTCTGATGCTTAAAACCTATGTCCTTAACCAGCTTGGATAGGAAGATTTGGCAGGAGCTAAAATACTCTGTTTAGATGAGCAAAGTGTCTTGTTGTCATCAGGTATTTATAATTGGTGGTTAAAAATACACATTTTTAAGGAACACATTATCCTTCACTCTGTGAACTCTGCAAAAGAGTTGAAACATTTTTCTGATTCATTTAATGAAAAGCATAATGCCAGAAAACAAAAAAACTAAAAAACACTAACAAAAGTAGCACAAAAAATAAAATCACAAAAATTCACTGAAATACTAAACAGAGGACTGTAAAATCAACAAAAATACAGCAAATGGTGTTTATTCTAGAAAGATTCAGGTGGTTCAGTATTGCGAAATTTATTATAATTTAATGGTCATAGACTAAAGGATAAAACTACCATTTTTCACTTTCTAATAGATTCCAAATGACATTTATAAAATATAACTATATTTCTTTTAAGAAAACACACATATGTACAACGCAGTAATTTAGTAATAGAGAGATGTTATTAAATCGTGAAAAAGCAGAAAAAATGGAAAAACATTAGAGACGTACTACATGCCTTATTTCATCACTTATAGTTAACATTCTGTAAATTCTAGCCAATACAATAATTTTTTAAAAATGACTAGATAACATTTGAAAAGTTCTTATTATATATGCTAGAAACTGTTCTGAATACTTAACAAGTATTAACTCATTTAAACTTCATAACTATCCTAGGGAATACTGACTACTGTCATTCTCATTTTATACATTAGGAAGCTGAGGCCTAGAGAAGCTAAATAACTTGGCCAAGGGCACACAGTTAACAGTGGTAGAGCTGAACAAGCATGCAAGTAGTTTAATCATGAGTCTTTAATTTTAAATAGTGTCATATGCTGCCTCTCAAAGTTTACAATTATTAGAAAAGATTAAATAATTCCAGTTTCTTGTCTTGAATTATGCAGTGGATAATTGCAGAGGAGGGACACAAAGAAAAAATTTGGAGAGAAGTGTTTTCTGTTTTACGTAGAGTACTGTGCAAGATTGTTTTCTTCATCTCCTTCTAGAAAAGAGGTGGTATCTTTTTTCTTTTAAAAAAGTATATATATTTTATATAAAATACTTATATGTAAACTATTTATAATATATGTAAATATTTATATATAAAATATATATATTTTGCTAAAAATCCCAAGAAAATCAACTGAAGAAGTATTAGAATAGGAGACTTCAATTAAGTGATCATACAAAAGATAAATGTGTCTAAATCAATTGATTTTTCTATAACAGCTACGGTTAGAAAACATGATGAAAAAATCACATTTATAATAACAAATATCTATATCTATGAGTAAACTTAAGACTTAAATGAAGAAAATAACATTTTATTGGGAAACACAAAATAAGATTAGCAGTAATGAAGATTTATATTGTATTCCTGGATGAGAATAATAAATATTATAATGATGTTAGCTTCCCCAAATTAATTTATAAAATTAATGCAACTCCATGTAGAACCATAAAGAGATTTTTAGGGAGAGGTTGGCAAAATGATTATTAAAATCCATCTGGAAGGATGCACATACTAGGAAAATACCACATTTTTGAAAAAGAAGAATAATGAAGAAAGAACTTGTAATTCCAAGTATTAAAAAATATTATAAAATTACTATTACTATGATAGTATGTTATTTTTTACTAAAATAGAGATATAGGAGAAACTAAATCATCTTGAAAATTCCCAAAACAGATTTAAACATGTCAAGGTAATGTATAATAAAGAGCATTTCTTGTTGGTGGAGGAAGTATTTATTATTAGGAGAACACAATTACAATAGTTGTTAAGAAAAATTGTAAAGTTGAATCTTTTATTCCTACAAAATACAAATAAATATCAGATTAATTGAAGAAGAAAAAATAGGAAGCTATAACTAAAAATGGATTGGTGACTAATTTATAATCTTGTCTAATATGACATCAAAGGCAAAAACCGTAATTGAAGACTGATAGACTTGACTAAAGATATATTAAAACTTTTTTACATACAAATAGAAAGGAGACTCAAGCAGCATGCCTGGCAGTGGGTTTGAAAATTCTTTTCATGATTTTTTGAAGGATAGAATTAATAAATCAGTAAATTCTGACTCATATTCCAAGTCCACCACTGTTGGAAGGCTAAATAAGGCAGAGCCCATCCTGAGACAGCACTCATTTGGTATTGTACTCACCGTAGGAACAGAACAAATTCCAAAGATGGAATTCTAGAGAAGACCAAATAATGACATAGAAGTTAGGATTGTTCTACCTAAAAAGGTCAACTAAATTTGAGTTATTGAATTCAAGAGAGTAAGGGATTTCGGCTAGACAGTTTTATAATTCTTTATATGTGCTGGGGCATTCATTTTAATAGGTTATTGACATCATTGAGTAACGTTTGAAGTTTTACAATGTGTTAAAATGTGTTATCTTTAATAAAAATTAAATAATTCCAGTTTCCTGTCTTGAATTATACAGTGGATAATTGCAGAGTAGGGACAAAGAAAAAATTTGGAGAGAAGTGTTTCCTGTTTTATGTAGAGTACCGTGCAAGATTGTTTTCTTCATCTCCTTCTAGAATAGCTTTGCTCCTTCAACGCTGGGCCCTAGAGCAAGTGGGAAAGCAAAATTTATTATGGTCAATGAGTAACGAAATAAAGAAAAATAAAGTTTTAATCTATGTTAAATATCCCAGGTAATATCAGCCTGGACTATGACAATCAGTTCACACTAACACTAGCCAAACAGTAATTTTCTGTCCTGGGCTCTATTAGAAAAGTGACTAGACTCCAAGCCCCAAATAGCTCAAGAGAAAGAGTAACTGCTAGGCACATCAACTTCCTCATCTTTCTGTTCACATTCAGTCCCTCTCAGTGTCCCTGGCCACTGCTGTTCCTCCTGAGGTCACTCACCCTGTTCCATGCCTTTCTGCCAGTGGTCCCTTGGCTGACACAGTTCTCTCTACCAACCTCTCCCCAATCTGTGGTGCCCTTTTGTTTCTAGGTTCGCATTGCCCAGTGTTCTGCATCCAGCTATCCTTCCTCACCTTTTTAACCAGACCATTGTCCTTGGATCAGGTTTGTTTCTTCAACTCGTTCTGTCCACCAACTCTAAATAGGTTCTTCCCTCTCTGACACAAGGCTGGAACTGTTAATAGATGGCTTTTTCTTGGGAAGCTTAGCGGTCTTAGGGCTTGCCTAACAGCCATCATCAATGTCCTTCCTATAAGGACTTTTAGGTACTCATGAAGTTATATCCTTGACAGATCCATCCTGCTGGCTCATGAGACATGCTGGAAATGTCTGAATCCAAAACAACAACAACAACAAAATACCAGCTTAGACCCTAGCTCTAATACCCTTGCTAAACAAATATTGGATATTGGTTTAAGAAAGTATCTTCATTTATTCATAAATATACACTTAGTATATATATTATTGACTGTCCACAGAAAAAGGCCTGGAATAGCCAAAAGAAATGTGTAAAGTATTTTCTTCTTGTCATAAGTAATAAAAGCACAAGAGAGGCTTAGTCATTTTGTATTAAATAAGAGTAACAGAATCAGGCAAGCACAACCCTGAAAATAAAGAAATAAATCTTGTTAATTTTCATGCCAGCCAGACTATCACTTTTTGAAGATTGTTAAAAAACTGTTTGTAAGTGGTGAGTTCTGGAGGGGGAAATTGGCAACAAAACAAAACAAACAACAAACCAAAGAGCAGAACAGACAC